ATTTTCCACTGACCTACACAAAACTTTTGTGGAATTATGGTAAGGGGATAAGAGAAATATTTCTGCGGGAACATTGCATCCATGCATCCACATTTTATTAAAACTCTTTCTCCTATGTTTAAGAATTTTGATCATAGTTATTTTCCTTGAGCGGCCCTTAAAACTCAGAGGAAAGGGGGTAAAAACCAAGCCTTAGGTAATAAAAACAAAACTTATCTTATTAGAACAATAACAGGTTGGTAGAGAACAATAACAGGTTTGGGTATACAACAATAACAGGTAGACAGAGAACAATAACAGATCGCACTCTTTTCACTCTCTAATCCTGTCTACACTTGTAATTTACAGGTAGGATGGCGGAACTGTTCTTTCTTGTAGTTTTCTTCAAGACTTTGACGTTTTTTCTCTAGAAGAAGCCCTTGTATAATGTTTCTAGGAGTATCAAGAAACTCTTTCTCAAATATTACATTTGAGAAATTTGTGATTATGAAGTCCCGTGAAGAATCCAGAAGTGGTACTAAATGATGAGCTACAGCTAACCTGTGTTTAGAAAAATATGGAATTTATATTGGATACTGTACGTCAAAAATGGTAAAGTTTACAAAATTAGAATATTTTTTAATAATTTACTTAATTATTTACTTACACACCTGTATAATCTTAAAACATTGGATGACTGAAGTTCACTGGTGAGAAAGGCCGCGCAAACACATACAGCATGGTGAACTTTCAGAATGTTTGCAGCAACTATTAACTCTTGAGCATTTTCCGTTGTTATCTCAATGTTTCCTAAAGATTTAAAATAAATTTTTCATAATAATTAATAAAATAAAAATACCGTTTTACATATAGCAATATGAAAAACATGTGTTTTTTACATATATGTAAAACATGTGTTTTTCCTTTTATCTTACCAGTATACATGAATCGAATGATCCGAATTAATATATTGGATTTCATAAACTTCATTTCTATTGAAGAAGACTGTGTTGTTTCCTCAGCTAATCCACCAGTAAACATATCCTTAAAATATTCACTTCCCGCCGAGAGTATTACACGATGAGCCTGGAATAAAACGTTTGTTGTATACAGTATATAAAAATCTTCTTCATCTTTTTTATTCATTTCAGATAAAGCTAGTTAAAACAACGTAATATACTAGCAAATGTTCTTACCTTCACAATTGATCCATCAGCTGATGATATTTCTACATCACAGAACTGTTGTTTCTGCCAGAGTGAATGTAAGTTCTCTAGCAAGTCATTCGGATAAGAGAGCTCCACCTCTAGGAAGTCGTTCGGATAAGAGAGCTCCACACATGCCGCCATTTCATATAAAAGACCTAATATACCTGTGATTACTCGGTACCCCAATTATAACGTTTTCTCAATATATATATACTACATCTCAGTTAAAAATTACCAGATATCACTACCCACCACCAGACAACTCAACTCTGGATGAATAGTATTACATTTGTTTATTAGTAATATATGAGGATGGCGGCAGCACGTGTGGAGTTCTCTGATCATGGGGAGGGGGAATGTAAATCTAACCTGCTAGAAAACTTACATTCACTCTGGCAGAAACAACAGTTCTGTGATGTAGAAATATCATCAGCTGATGGATCAATTGTGAAGGTGAGAAAACATTATTTTTTAACTGAAATAACTGTAAAAACTGTCGTCTGTCCTGTCTGTACTTAACACAACTATTTTTATTATTTCAGGCTCACCGTGTAATACTCTCGGCGGGAAGTAATTATTTTAAGACAATGTTTACCTGTGGATTAAGTGAGGAAACAACACAGTCTTCTTCAATAGAAATGAAGTCTATGAAATTTAATATATTAAAACAGCTCATCGGATTTATATATACTGGTAAGGATAAAGAAAAACTTTTTAAAAGTTAATAGAAAGTGAGTACTAATGTAAAACTAAAAACGATATTTTTTATTTTGTTGATGGATTGTTTTTTTAAATCTTTAGAAAACATCGAGGTAACAGTGGAAAATGTTCAAGAGTTAATTGTGGCTGCAAACATACTTGAAATTCACCATGCTGTACGTGTTTGTACAGACTTTCTTAAGAGTGAACTTCATCCATCCAATGCTTTAGGAATTTACAGGTACGGTTTGATTTGATGATTCAGTTCAGTTGATTATGTTACCTATATGTACGTACAATAAATAAATCTATTAGGAATAAATCCATTATTTTTGTTTTTTTTTAAACAGGTTTGCTGAGGCCCATTATTTAGTAAACCTGCTGTCTGCTTCACAGGACTTCATCTTTTCTAATTTCGTAGAAATTACAATGGAACAAGAGTTTCTTGAGATTCCTAAAGAAATTCTACTGTATTTTTTGGAGTCAGAGTATCTTCATATTGACTCTGAGTTTCAGGTAAATATTTATATACGCTATTTTTTTTATTTAATAGTAGACCCCAAAACAATCAAATTTATCTACCTTTTCTTTCTTTATTGTATTACAGGTATTCTCTGCTGCCATCAGATGCATTACACAAGATATAACTAATAGACATTGTTGGATTTATGACATTTTGAAACGAGTGAAATTGGCTTTAATTCCAAGTAAACTAATAAAAAAATCAATTAATGAGTGCTCTAATATCAATCTGAAGGTTATCCTTAAACAGCAGAGGACGACATTTTTAAGGGACGAAAGGGAAGCCTCGTATATCCAGCCAAGAATTTGTCTTCGAAAGAAAATTTATGTTATAGGTGGATGGAAACTATCAGAGGAGTATAGTTTAAAAAGTGTCGAATGTTTTGATACCTTTAGGCAGAAATGGCAGAAAGTTTGCCCTATGAAAATTGAGAGATGTGGGCCAGGAGTAGCAGTCTTACATGGGAAAATATTCGTTGTTGGAGGGATTGGAGGGGATAGTCAGATTTGGGCAGATGGCGAAGTTTATGATCCACAGGAAGAAGATTGGACTGGGATATCTTCTATGGTTACCCCACGATGTGATTTTGGATTATGCGCTCATGGAGGTTACCTCTATGCCTTCGGTGGTTGGACGGGATCGGTCATCGAAAAAAGTATTGAAAGATATGACCCTATTGCAGATGAGTGGACATTATTAGAGTCAAATATGCTAGAACCTATATCCGGGTAAGTACAATAACCATTTTCAAAGTGAAATTACTGACTGATAGTGTGTGTGTAAACTACTGATAATAATAAGAGAAAATGTAGCATTGACCTGTAATTGTCTTTTTTTTTTCTCCCTCTTTTTTTTTTACAGTATGGGTATAGTAGAACATCGAGGTCTTATTTACATTGTTGGTGGAGTTGGTGGATATTATTTCACCTTCCTGCGTAATCTTCTCTCATACAATCCTGTGACTGGGCATTGGAAGAATCTAGCACCGATGATAGGTCCACTATATAAGAAGATAGGTGCTGCAGTTTTGGATAACTTTTTATATGTAGTAGGTGGTGGTATTCGGGACAATTATGAGAAAAAATCAATGCAAAGATATTCTTTTGAACAGGTAAGATTATTTACCAGTGCAAAACTTATGAATTCTTATTTTTATATACATTTACCAGCGCTGTTCTTATGAATTCTTATTATTATATACAACAAGATTTGAATTACAATATTGTACCTAGGAAGTGGAAGAATTTTTGTAATACTGTAGTGAAAATGGAGGGAGTAAAAAATTGTATAACTTCCCTACTCTCCCTTCCTTTTACTTTTCTTCTTTCTTTTACTTTCCCACAGAACAAATGGTTCAAGTGTTCATCGAAGTATTTTGGTCGAAGTATCTCAACAGTTGTTGCCACAAGTTCTCTGTTATATGTCATAGGCGGCTGTAGAGGGGTAAGGAAGAACAAACGAAAACAGAATGATTAATGAATATGTGATATACAAATCCAAAGTTATCCAAAGTTTTAACTTTTAATTTTTTTTAGGTACCTATCACTAATGTGGAGTATTTCGACCCAAAGAAGAACAAGTGGATGAACTGTGCATCACTCCCAGAGGGTCGGTCTAATGCTAGAGCAGTCGTAATTTGACTCGACTTTCTTTCTCTTCTCTTCTTGATACTTCCCCAAGCTCAAGAAGCTCAAGAATATCTAACAGAGAAATTTACAAGTCCTCTTCTTCCGCTTCATCCTTTTCAACAAACACACACTTAAAATAAAAATAAAAACTGAAATTAATGTATAGTTTTTACTTATCCATCCCAAGCTGCTGTAGATTAGTTTTCCTACTGTTTGAAGGCGAGGACGGAAGCACCACCACCACCACCACAACCACAACAATTTACCTCCCCCTCTGTTAAAAATTACCAGATATCAACACTATCAACACTACCACTATTTATAAAAGAACACTGGTGATGATTAGTATTAACATTAGTATTTGAGAATGGCGGCGGCACTTGTGGAGCTCTCTCATCACGAGGAGGAGGAGGAGGAATGTAAATCTTATCCAAACTACCTGCTAGACTGCATACATTTCCTCTGGCAGTCACAACAGTTATGTGATGTAGAAATATTATCAGCTGATGGATCAGTTGTGAAGGTGAGTGAGTAAGAAACTACATAAAATCACACTTAAAAGTATGTCCTCAATATTATCAATCTATGTACCTTCCTCCACCCCTACTTTAAAAAAATCTGATGGGGATTACATTTTATTCCACAGGCTCACCGTGTAATACTGTCAGCGGGAAGCGACTATTTTAAGACCATGTTTACGTGTGGATTTGCTGAGAAAACAACACAAACAATAGAAATGAAGTCTATGAAACCCAATATATTAAAACTGCTCGTCGACTTCATATATACTGGTAAGGGAAAATATTTTAAGTTTTCATAGTACTATGCTGCTATCTATATGTAAAGTTTTTATTTTGTTGCAAATGAATAAATGAAAATTTTTTTTTCTTTTTTTGTAAAAATACTTTAGGAAACATCGAGATAACAGTGGAAAACGCACAGGAGTTAATTGTGGCTGCGAATATGCTGTTCATGCCCCGTGCTGTACTTGTTGGTACAGACTTTCTCAAGAGCGAACTTGATCCATCCAATGCTTTGGGAATTTACAGGTAACGAATTTTTATTTTGTAAATTTTTTTATTTTGTTCTGTTCTGTTTTAATTTGATTGATTCTGATTCGATCTAATCCGATTCTAGAGAGGATGTGTTCCTTTTTTTTTGTTTTTTTACAGGTTTGCTCAGGCCCATTATTTAGTAAGCTTGTTGAATGGTTCGCGGGACTTCATCTTCTCCAATTTCGTAGAAGTGACAATGGAGCAAGAGTTTCTTGAGATTCCTAAAGAAACTCTACTATATTTTTTGGATTCGGAGTATCTTCATATTGACTCTGAGTTTCAGGTAAATATTAGATATTTTTCTTTTTATTTAATATTTATTTATTGAAAATTTTCTTTTTTTCTTTTTTTATTGCAGCTCTCACTTTCTTTTTCTTTTCTTTTGTTATATTGCAGGTATTCTCTGCTGCCATCAGATGGATTATACAAGAAATAACTGATAGACTTTGTTGGATTCTTGATATTTTAAAACGAGTGAAATTGTCTTTAATTTCAAGTAAACTAATAGAAAAATCAATTAATGAGTGCTCTGATATCAGATTGAAGGTTAGTCTTAAACAGCAGACAAACTTGGCCAAAAGGGAAGCCTTGTATGTCCAGCCAAGAATTTGTACTCGAAAGAAAATTTATGTCATAGGTGGATCAAGGAAAGAACACATGAGGAGATCAAGATCAAATAAGTATATATTTAAAAAAAGTGTCGAATGTTTTGATATCTTTAGGCAGATATGGCAGAAAGTTTACCCCATGAAAATTGGAAGAAGTTCACCAGGAATAGCAGTCTTACATGGAAAAATTTTCGTTGTGGGAGGGGTTGGAGAGGAGAGTCAGATTTTGGCGGATGGCGAAGTTTATGATCCACAGGAAGATTATTGGACTGGAATATCTTCTATGATAATCCCACGGTGTGATTTTGGATTATGCGCTCATGGAGGTTATCTCTATGCCTTCGGTGGTTGGACTGGATCAATGGAAATGGGAAAACATATTGAAAGATATGACCCTATTACAGATGAGTGGAGATTATTAGAGTCAAATATGCTAGAAGCTAGATCCAAGTAAGTACAATTGTAATGTTAAAAATCAACCATTTTTAAATTAGGTTTACTGACTGATAGTAATTGATAATGAGAAAATGTAGCAGTGGCCTGTACTTTTTTTTTTGTCTTTTTCTCCTTTTCTTTTCTTTTACAGAATGGGTATAGTAGAACATCGAGGTCTCATTTACATTATGGGTGGATATACCGACACTGACAACGCCCTGCGTGATCTTCTCTCATACAATCCTGTGACTGGGGAGTGGAAGAATCTAGCACCAATGCTAGGTGGACCATGTGACACGATATGTGTTGCAGTTTTGAATAACTTTCTGTACGTAGTAGGTGGTACTGAGTTGGAGGAAATGGAAAGATATTCTTTTGAACAGGTAAGATTATTTACCGTGGAGTGCTTATGAATTATTATTATATTGTAGCCAGGATGTGAAGAATATTTGTAATACTGTTGGTAAATAATTGTATAACCTCCCTCCCTTCCTTTTACCTTTTTTCTTTTACTTTCCCACAGAACAAATGGTTTAGGTGTTCATCAATGTATTCCGGTCTAAATTCCCCAGCAATTGTTGCTACAAATTCTCTGTTATATTTCATAGGCGGTGACAGTAGAAATGATGTTGATGGACAGGTAAGGAAGACTGAAAAGAATGATTAATGAAAACTGATAATATTTATTAATAATCTTTATAATCCAAAGTTTTAACCTAAACTATTTTTTTTTTTTTTAGCTACTTGCCGCTGATGTGAATGTGGAGTATTTCGACCCTAAGAATAATAGGTGGATAAACTGTACATCACTTCCTGAGGGTCGGATTGATGCTAGAGCAGTTTCAATTTGACAATCTTATCTGAACTACCTGCTGATGTAGAAATATCATCAGCTGATGGATCAGTTGCGAAGCCATTTAAAATAAAAAAAAACTTGCTTTCTATCTTTTTAACTTACCTAACATGAAATTTGAAAGTATCCTTATAATTGTTTAATTTCACATTTGCTGAATACTGAATAAAGAGCTGACCAAAGCTGTCTAACCGGCCAAGTTTAGTTAGGATGAGTGTGTAGCTTAAAAAAAAAGTCTGCCGAAAGGCATCCAAAACATTAATTCAAAAGTTTTCTTTGAGGTGCTGTGACGTAACTGGTGATAGCGAAGGTTGCTTATATTAATTACCCCACCACATACGTTACAGCAAAACTTTGCTTCCTGTGTATGTGACTTATGAATTCTTATTATTATATACTATAGTGAAAAGGAAGTAAAAAATTGTCATGCGGAGTATTTTGATCCTAAGGATAACAAGTGGAGAAACTGTACACCCCTGAGGAACGGTCTGATGCTAGAGTAAAGAAGTGTATATGTTTTTTTTTTTTTTTTTTTAATCCAGGTCAAGTTGTTTTCTTTAATGGGCCCCAGGGTTGATGGGGCCCCTAGTCTTAATGGGCCCTTAGTCTTAATGGACCCCAGTTTTAATGGGCACTCAACTAACCTAACACACAAATATTACATTTTAAGTCCACACAAATATTACATTTTAAGTCCATTACAAATACCAAACACCAAAAATAAACACACGAAATCTTGAGTATATCTCTCCTCCTAGTCACAGCCTGGCATTTGATATTATTAACATAATATGTACCGGGAACTTGATATCTCTTCTCTCCCAAGCTCAAGCTCAAGAATATCCAACGAGAAACTTTCAAGCCCTCTTCATCCTCCTCTCATCCTCTTCAACATACACACACACACACACTTAAAATAAAAAAATAAATGTATTACCTATCCCAACATACTGAAAGAAAGAGGCTGCTGGCTGTAGTTTAGTTTTGTTACTGTTGGAAGAAGCAACGGAAGCACCACCACCACCACCACCACCACGGGTATTACCAGATATCACCACACCACTAAAAATAAAACTGACAACTAGTTAGTATTACATTAGTATCTGAAGATGGCGGCTGCACATGTGGAGCTCTCTCATAACGAGGAGGAGAAGGAGGAGGAAGAGGAATGTAAATCTTATCCGAACTACCTGCTAGACTGCATACATTTCCTCTGGCAGTCACAACAGTTATGTGATGTAGAAATATTATTATCTGATGGATCAGTTGTGAAGGTGAGTGAGTGAAACATTTACCTGTGAGAGAAGAAACATTTACCTCCTACCTACACATCTTTCTCTGCCTGCCCTCCATCACCCACCCACCATTTACACACATATCGGGGGAGGGAAACTTAACTACACCGCCCACACTCACCCTCCGCCACCCTTACCGTCCAGGAGGATTCAGTGGAACATGGTTAACAAGTCTATCCGAGTATGACTAGGATCAGTGGAAGAAGAAATCTCCCAACTCCCCTGCTCCCCTAACTCACCTTCTCCCCTGACACAAATAAAGAGCTGCTTATCCAACTTTCTTCGCACGAGAGAATCAATGTTTCCTAGCAGTGGTTTGATTTGGGCTTGCTTCCTAGCAGTGGTTTCATTTGGGCTTCCTTCCTAGCGGTGGTTTGATTTTGTTGTCTATAATTCTCTCACTTTTATGTAACTTCGAACGAACGAACTTGTGGTGCCCAATAAACTAGCCCCCCTCAGGGACAAATCTTTAAAAAAAACAAAAAAAAAATCTGATGGGATTACATTTTATTCCAAAGGCTCACCGTGTAATACTGTCAGCGGGAAGCGAATATTTTAAGGCCATGTTTACGTGTGGATTAGCTGAGAAAACAACACAGTCAATAGAAATGAAGTCTATGAAACCCAATTTATTAAAACTGCTCATCGAATTCATTTATACTGGTAAGGGAAAACATTTTAAGTTTTCATAGTGCTATGCTGCTATATGTAAAACAAAACGATAGTTTTTATTTTGTTGCAAATGAATGAATGAAACTTTTATTTTTTTTGTAAAAAAACTTTAGGAAACATCGAGATAACAGTGGAAAACGCACAGGAGTTAAAAGTGGCTGCGAACATGCTGATAATGTCCCGTGCTGTACGTGTTTGTACAGACTTTCTCAAGAGCGAACTTCATCCATCCAATGCTTTGGGAATTTACCGGTACGTACAGTATAATAAATCATATTTTCCTATATCGCTTGAGGCCCATTATTTAGTAAGCTTGTTGAATGGTTCGCGGGACTTCATCTTCTCCAATTTCGTAGAAGTAACAATGGAGCAAGAGTTTCTTGAGATTCATAAATAAGCTCTACTGTATTTTTTGGAGTCAGAGTATCTTCATATTGACTCTGAGTTTCAGGTAAATATTAAATATTTTTCTTTTTATTTAATATTTATTTATTAAATTCAAAAATCTAATTTTTTTGGGGTAGGGTTTATTGCAGCTCACTTTCTTTTTCTTTTGTTATATTGCAGGTATTCTCTGCTGCCATCAGATGGATTACACAAGAAATAACTGATAGACTTTGTTGGATTCTTGACATTTTAAAACGAGTGAAATTATCTTTAATTTCAAGTAAACTAATAGAAAAATCAATTAATGAGTGCTCTGATATCAGATTGAAGGTTAACCTTAAACAGCAGACAAACTTGGCTAAAGAGGAAGCCTTGTATGTCCAGCCAAGAATTTGTACTCGAAAGAAAATTTATGTCATAGGTGGATCAAAGAACGAACTCATTAGATTATGGAATAGATCAGAGGAATATATGTTTAAAAGTGTCGAATGTTTTGATTCCTTTAGGAAGGAATGGCAGAAAGTTTGCCCCATGAAAAATATAAGAATTTGGCCAGAAATAGCAGTCTTACATGTAATAATTTTCGTTGTTGGAGGGGTTGGAGAGGAGATACTCTCTCCGATTTTGGCGGTTGGCGAAGTTTATGATCCACAGGAAGATTATTGGACTGGAATATCTTCTATGGTGATCCCAAGGTGTGATTTTGGATTATGCGCTCATGGAGGTTATCTCTATGCCTTCGGTGGTTGGACAGGATCGGTTATGGAAAAAAATATTGAAAGATATGACCCTATTACAGATGAGTGGAGATTATTAGAGTCAAATATGCCAGAAGCTAGAAAAAAGTAAGTACAATTGTAATGTTAAAAATCAACCATTTTCAAATTAGATTTACTGACTGATAGTAACTGATAATGAGAAAATGTAGCATTAGCCTGTACTGTTTTTTTTTTCTTTTTCTCCTTTTCTTTTCTTTTATAGCATGGGTATAGTAAAACATCGAGGTCTTATTTACATTATTGGTGGATATACGGACACTTACACCTTCCTGTGTGATCTTCTCTCATACAATCCTGTGACTGGGGAGTGGAAGAATCTAGCACCAATGCTAGGTCCACCATGTAACACGATAGGTGTTGCAGTTTTGAATAACTTTCTGTACGTAGTAGGTGATATTAATGAGAAAAAATCAATGGAAAGATATTCTTTTGAACAGGTAAGATTATGAGATTATATACAATAAGGTTTGAATTTCAGTATTGTAGCCAGGATGTGGAACAATTTGTAATACTTAGTGAAAAGGGATAAAAAATTGTATGACCTCCCTCCCTTCCTTTTACCTTTTTTCTTTTACTTTCCCACAGAACAAATGGTTTAAGTGTTCATCAATGTATTTCGGTCATAGCCCAGCAGTTGTTGCTACAAATTCTCTGTTATATGTCATAGGCGGTGACAGTAGAAATTATGATGGACTGGTAAGGAAGAATGAAAAGAATGCTTAATGAAAACTGATAATATTTATTAATAATCTTTATAATCCAAAGTTTTAACCTCAAACTAATTTTTTTTTTTTTTTAGATATCTGTCGCTAATGTGGAGTATTTCGACCCTAAGAATAATAGGTGGATAAACTGTACATCACTCCCTGAGGGTCGGTCTGATGCGAGAGCAGTTTCAATTTGACAATCTTATCTGAACTACCTGCTGATGTAGAAATATTATCAGCTGATGGATCAGTTGTGAAGGTGAGCGAGAAATATATTTACTGCATACAATCACATCAGCTGCCTCACTTATGGGAAGACTGCCACAACCATCCCAGGGACAAATAAAACAAAAATCTGATGTGCCCTTACACTTCCTCACTCTCCCTTACACCCCCTCACTCTCCCCTCCTCCTAGTCACAGCCCGGCCGGCATTTGATATTATTAACATAAAATGAACCGGAAACTTGATATCTCTTCTCTCCCAAGCTCAAGATCAAGAATATCCAACGAGAAACTTTAAAGTCTCTTCATCCTCCTCTCATCTCTCTTCAACACACACACTTAAAATAAAAAATAAAATACTTCCGTTGCTGGCTGTAGTTTATAGTTTTGTTACTGTTTGAAGAAGCAACGGAAGAATCACCACCACAACCACCACCACCACCACCACCACCACCACCACAACCACCATCACCACGGGTATTACCAGATATCACCACACCACCACTAAAAACAAAACTGACAACTGGTTAGTATTACATTAGTATCTGAAGATGGCGGCTGCACATGTGGAGCTCTCTCATTACGAGGAGGAGGAGAAAGAGGAGAAAGAGGAGGAGGAGGAGGAGGAGGAGGAGAAATGTAAATCTTATCCTAACTACCTGCTAGACTGCATACATTTCCTCTGGCAGTTACAACAGTTATGTGATGTAGAAATATGATTAGCTGATGGATCAAATGTGAAGGTGAGTGAGTGACATATTTACCTGTGAGTAAAGAAACATTTACCTCCAACCTACACATCTTTCTCTGCCGTCCATCACCCAAATCTTAAAAAACAAAAACTGATGGATTACATTTTATTCCACAGGCTCACCGTGGAATACTGTCAGCAGGAAGCGACTATTTTAAGACCATGTTTACGTGTGGATTTGCTGAGAAAACAACACAGTCAATAGAAATGAAGTCTATGAAACCCAATATATTACAACTGCTCGTCGACTTCATATATACTGGTAAGGGAAACATTTTAAGTTTTCATAATGCTGCTATACTTATATTTAAATTAAAACGAAATAAATTATGAATAAAAAACTTTATTTTTAATACTTTAGGAAACATGAAGATAACAGTGGAAAATGCACAGGAGTTAATTGCGGCTGCGAACATGTTGATGATGTCACGTGCTGTACGTTTTTGTACAGACTTTCTTAAGAGCGAACTTCATCCATCTAATGCTTTGGGAATTTACCGGTATGTGCAGTATAATAATTAATTATTTTCAAACTATTTATATAATACGACGTAACTAATTCCATATTTTTGTTTTTTAAAACAGGTTTGCTGAGGCCCATTATCTAGTAAGGTTGCTGCATTCTTCGCGGGATTTCATCTTTTCCAATTTCGTAGAAGTGACAATGGAGGAAGAATTTCTTGAGATTCCGAAAGAAATTCTACTGTATTTTCTTGAGTCAGAGTATCTTCATATTGACTCTGAGTTTCAGGTAAAATAATTTTTTTTATTTAATATTACAAACTTTCAACTGACTTTATTTACAAAAGTTTTAACCCCAAACTATCAAAATTAACTTTCTCTATTATTTATTGCAGGTATTCTCTGCTGCTATTAGATGGATTACACGAAGAACTAATAGATATGGTTGTTGGTATTTTGACATTTTAAAACGAATGAAATTATCTTTAATTTCAAGTAAACTAATAGAAAAATTAATTAATGAGTGCTCCTCTGATATTAGATTTAAGGTTAACCTTAAACAGCAGACAAACTTGGCGGCCAAAAGGGCAGCCTTATATGTCCAGCCAAGAATTTGTACTCGAAAGAAAATTTATGTCATAGGTGGATCAAAGAAAGAAAACTATTACCAAAATAAATTTAAAAAAAGTGTCGAATGTTTTGATATCTTTAGGCAGATATGGCAGAAAGTTTGCCCCATGAAAATTGTGAGAAATTCACCAGGAATAGCAGTCTTACATAGAAAAATTTTCGTTGTTGGAGGGATTGGAAAGGAGAGTCAGATTTTGACGGATGGCGAAGTTTATAATCCACAGGAAGATTATTGGACTGGAATATCTTCTATGGTGATCCCACGGTGTAATTTTGGATTATGCGCTCATGGAGGTTATCTCTATGCCTTTGGTGGTTGGACGAGATCGGTTATGGAAAAAAGTATTGAAAGATATGACCCTATTACAGATGAGTGGAGATTATTAGAGTCAAATATGCCAGAAGGTAGATCCAAGTAAGTACAATAACAATTTTCAAATTGGATTTACTGACTAATAGTGTGAACACTGATAATAATGAGAAAATGTAACAGTGCCTGTACTTTTTTTTTTTTTACAGCATGGGTATAGTAGAACATCAAGGTCTTATTTACATTGTTAGTGGATATATGGACTTTTACAACCCCATGCATGATCTTCTCTCATACAATCCTGTAACTGGGGAGTGGAGAGCGCTAGCAGGACGTGCTCCACCTCGCTACAACTACATGGGTGTTGCAGTTTTGAATAACTTTTTGTATTTAGTGGGTGGCCTTCTTTTTAATGAAGAAGCGGAAAAATCACTAGAAAGATATTCTTTTGAACAGGTAATGTGCATGCTTATTATTATATACAATACAATTTGAATTACAGTAGTGAAAAGGGAGTAAAAATTGTATAACTCCCTTCTTTTCTCTTTCCAAGACAATAATAATGATTTAAGTATATTGAAGAAGAATTTTTGTAATACTGTAGTGTAGTGAAAAGAGGGAGTAAAAATTGTATAACCTCCCCTCCCTTCTTTTCCTTCCACAGAACAAATGGTTTAAGTGTTCACCAATGAATTTTGATCGAAGTATCCCAGCAGTTGTTGCCACAAATTCTCTGTTATATGTCATAGGAGGTCACCGTCAAAATTACCTTAATAGACTGGTAAGAAAGGAAGAATGGAAATGGAAGAATGAAATGAATGAATATAGAATGAATTATATTACAATTTTAACCTCTAACTTTTTTTTTTAGGTATCTGTCGCTAATGTGGAATATTTCGACCCTAAGAATAATAAGTGGATGAACTGTACATCACTCCCTGAGGGCCGGTCTTATGCTAGAGCAGTCTTAATTTGACTCCCTAAACCTTCCTCAAGACTGACATTATCTTCATATTTAATCCATTTAAAATAAAAAAAAGTTTGCTTTCTATCTTTTTAACTTACCTAACATGAAATTTGAAAGTATCCTTATAATTAGTATCTGAAGCTGCATGTGTGGAGCTTTCTCATCACGAGGAGGAGGAGGAGGAGGAATGTAAATCTTATCCTAGCTACCTGACGATATACATTTCCTCTGGCAGTCAGAAAAGTTATGTGATGTAGAAATATTATTAGCTGATGGATCAGTTGTGAAGGTGAGTAAGTGAAACATTTATCTGTGAGTGAAGAAACATTTAGGAGAAGTCAGTGGAACATTGGTTAACAAAGTCTATCCAGTACAGTGGAAGAAATAATATATTACAACTGCTCGTCGACTTCATATATACTGGTAAGGGAAAATATTTTAAGTTTTCATAGTGCTATGCTGCTGCTATCTATATGTAAATTTTTTATTTTGTTGCAAATGAAATTTTGTTTTTTTAAAATACTTTAGGAAACATCGAGATAACAGTGGAAAACGCACAGGAGTTAATTGCGGCTGCGTAGTAGACTAAAATCAATCAAATTTATCTACTCTTTTTTTTTATTGTATTACAGGTATTCTCTGCTGCCATCAGATGGATTACACAAGATATAACTAATAGACATTGTTGGATTTATGACATTTTGAAACAAGTGAAATTGTCTTTAATTCCAAGTAAACTACTAGAAAAATCAATTAATGAGTACTCTGACTCGGAAATAAAGCTTATCCTTAAAAACATACAGCAGCAGCAGCAGCAGCAGCAGCAAAACTTTTGGAACAAAAGGGAAGCCTTGTATGTCCAGCCAAGAATTTGTACTCGAAAGAAAATTTATGTTATAGGTGGAATTAGGTACAGATCAGATGAGTATACATTGAAAAGTGTCGAATGTTTTGATACCTTTAGGCAGAAATGGAAGAAAGTTTGTCCTATGAAAATTGGAAGAATTTCGCCAGAAATAGCAGTCTTACATGGAAAAATTTTCGTTGTTGGAGGGATTGGAGGGGACAGTCTGCAGATTTTGGCAGATGGCGAAGTTTATGATCCACAGGAAGATGATTGGACTGGGATATCTTCTATGGTGACCCCACGATGTCATTTTGGATTATGCGCTCATGAAGGTTACCTCTATGCCTTCGGTGGTAGGACGAAGGGATGTGACGACATATCCCCAATTATTGAAAGATATGACCCTTTTGCAGATGAGTGGAGATTATTAGAGTCAAATATGCCAAAAGCTATATCCCAGTAAGTACTGTTTACTGTTAAAAATCAATCATTTTCAAATAAATTTATCTGACTGATAGTGTGAATTACTGATAATGAGAAAATTTTGCAGTGGCCTGTACTGTTTTTTTTTCTTTTTTACAGCATGGGTATAGTAGAACATCAAGGTCTTATTTACATTGTTGGTGGATATAAGATCACTTTCGAC